AGCGATTAAGACTCACGGTCTTCACAAAGATCCAAGTATTCAGCAAGACACTAACCGCTCGATGTCGTTGGATAAAATGAATTCGCTCAGTCGCTTTCCATGCGCCGCGCGTATCTCCATCGGTTCTGTTGCAGCTGCGTAGAATGCGTCTGCATAGGCCTTAACAGTTTTTGCCTTCGCACATCCTCCTCATTTTCATATGGCAGATTTTGTATACTATTCGTAAGTCAGCAGCAACAATTTTCTTCTGTTCGGAACTTCCATAGCAGTACAACAGTACGCATTCTCCTAGGTAACTATGGACGGGACCAGCTGATTTTTTGAACTCGAACTTTTTTATCCACTTATTCTGAGCCAGGACTCGTGTTAGTGTAGACAGAGGACTCGGTGTCAGAGTAAGCTTTTCTTCGAACTCTCATTAATTGTTATTTTCCGCGATTGGATGTATAGCGGAGCTGAAGGTTTGGTAGAGCAACATGTTAGCAGCTAGCGGATGAGGAGCTACATATGAAGAGAATAACTTGCCAAAATGGAACAAATAGGTGGAGGAAAATCAGTTTCAGTGTGCTTCTTTATGAACCAACCTCGACGTCAAACAGATTCGAAATTCGATGGTAGTTTTTCTCGCCATCTTCTTTGTAAAGACCTGAAGTGGTGAACTGGATCTCTGAACCTGCACCGGTGGAGAGAATGAGGCCAGCTCGTGGATTGCAGACCATCATCTCCTTAGCCACCTGGAAACCAAAAAAGAGACATCGAATAACCGAATCACTTTTATGGTCTGACAAGAGTTCGTCCCCTACGGCATTCTCAGTTTTGAAAATAGCAGAGATCATCTACGGTGCGCGATCACTCATTTCTTTAGAAAATTGTTCGACCTCATCTTGTTTTTATTTGTTTGTTTGTTTTGAATCCATGGAGGTGTTGAATCGGACCATCACAAGCCTAAGGGCGGACTTTGCGATGGAAAGGCAGCCCATTGGAAATTAATTTAGAGATGGTCAGTGATGCACGAAAGAAGAAAAAACCGAGAAAAATGGCCTAGAACCCGAGAAATGGGACCCCTTCCTTGCCCGTTGATTTGCGCATTGATGCGACTCTCATCGGTGCTGCCCTCTTCAACGCTAACGCTCTCTCTGCTGAACGGCTAGAGACTCAGACACGAGACGACGCGAGGAGGGGCGTACCGGGCCAATAGCGCGCCAATTGGGCGCGAGGAAGGCCATGCTAGATCGCCGCAGGCATATCCTCGATGCGAATTGCGTGTCGGTCCGCACCATTCCGCCTGTGTCTCCACTAGGTAAATTTCCCCTTCTTCGACCTTCGTCTTTATCGTGAATCCTCCTTTAAAGGAGGAATTCACGATTAGAATGAAGGTCGAAGAAGGGTAATTGACCTAGTTGAGGACCCACGGACCTCCTGAGGGGTGCGAACTGACGCGCAATTCGCATGGAAAAATTTGACCTCGGCGACCTATCATGCCTCAAAGCTGGCGGGTCGGCGATCTCCGCCCACCGATCATCTGATCACTCGCCGTAGTTCAATACGTGGCGAGTGATTAGATAGCTGAGAGAGCGTAGTGTTGAAGAGGGCACAGCGATGAGAGTCGCATCAATGCTCGAATCAACGGGCAAGGAAGGGGTCCCATTTCTCGGGTTCTGGGCCGTTTCTCATGGTTCTTCCTTCTTTTGTACCACTCACCATCCCTAGGTTAATTTGAAATGGGTTGCTTTTTCATCGTGAATTCGTCCTTTAAAGGCAGCCCCGGTTAAACTAATGTATGAGGAGGCGCTCCTAGTTATTACTATTGAGCTGACGATGGGACTGGAAGTGGAAAAGAAAGCAAGAGAAGCCATAGAAACGTTGAAGTTGTGGGCCTAAGCTTGCAGTAACGCCGAATTTGGTACGATGAAGAGACAGAACGATCAAAACAAAACGCTAGAGAGCATGCTGGTCTTTACATTAATCGCAGTGAGGGATTTAATGAGCTTCGACGGTACACGGCATACGATCACGCCTCAATGCAAATTTTGTGGCACGACCTCTGTAGATAAAAACCTTACACCATCATTTGCAACGTGGTTCCTACTAGTGAGCCCAATCACGGCCTTGCCTATGAGGCTTGGATGAACGGGCCGATCTATGAGTGTATCCGCGCGTTGGACAAGTAAGAAATTCGTGAAGCTAACCAGGTTCATGCCATCTTTCTTCGGAGTAACGATCCCAATATCCATCGCCATATATGCTGCTACCAATTCTGGACGTGGCAATCCTGAAAATTTGAAAAACGATGCTGATTAGGATTCGATTTTTACCATCACCTCCGAAATATTCAAATAGCATCTGTTGAAAGGAAAGCCAGTAACTCAGTAAACCGTTGCGCTTTTGGTGAGCGCTAAGGAACAAAAAAGGAGCAAGCTGTAAAAAGGACAAAAATCACTACAAGAAGGTAGACGGCGCTTTTCGCTCGTCTGCTTCTGTCGAAAATCCACTGCTACGACTTCCATTTGTGAGACCTACTTTTAGCAAATCGGTCTGTTTCTTAGTCGTCCAAACGAATGAATCTGCTTTTTTTTCGTAGAAGGCAAGCCCCGGGATAAAACTGGTTATAAGAGCGCTTCGTAGTGATGACTGAGCTGCGGAATGAACTGAAAGTGGAAAGGAAAGCAAGAGAAATCTTGGGAACGCTAAATTAAGGCCTTAACCTTCAGTAAGGTCGGATGTGGTACGATGGCGAGACAGGGCGATCAAAGAAGACAAAACACGCGAGAGAGCACGCCGTTCGAGAGAGCACGCTGATCTCTATATCAATGCGGTGGGTGGGAAGCGTTGCAGCGAGGGTCGATGGTTGCAGGTTCGTAATGGATTAGCGCCCTAATCGCGCAATTTGGGCAACGAAGCTGGCGTGATCTATGAAGGTAAAGACCCCCCCCCCAAAATTCCCTCGCCCTATCCTTCCTACTAGTCGGGCTAATCTTGAAGTTTGCCTTTAGAACGTATTTGATGGTTCATTTTTATTGCTAAGTTCAACTGTGGCAAAGAACCCGCTTTGCGCAACTCATCCAGTTAATGTTTTGGAAGCTGACTTGTTTACAACATATCTTGAATTTTTCCTAAACGTTTCAGAGTTGCTGACCGTCGTTTGGAAGATGAGCGGCTTCCACTCCGGTCGTTGAGGATCCTTGAATTGTTGCACGATTTTCTCCGCAAGGGCTATGCATTCATCTTGGTACACTCGATACGTGTCTACGGAGCGGCGATTGGTGACAGCGACCTCAAAGAAAATTCATTTCGCTCGGTATACTTGGATACTAAAATGCTCAAGAGAGTTATGCCACTGCATGCGAGAGAACATCTTTCATGAGTGGGACTGTGCTTGGATTCGCATGCTTACATGCGTTTACTGTAGCTACTAATTAATAGTGATTGCTGTTACCTTGCTACCAGAATGATTAACTTCATGCGGTCAAATGAATTTCTGAGCATACTCATTCGCTACCAATATTTGTTGGGCCAGAATAGGTGAAGACCTCGACCACCTTCACAAATATCGAAAATAATGGTGCTTCCGTTTACAGGGTGTCCATGACTGAATTCCAACCAATTCCCGGTAATTTCAGCAATCCCTGTCGGCGTCAATCCTAGTGCTAGCACATTTTCAGAAATTTCGAAACCCTTCTCGTCGGTACTTGTACCAACGGAGGACTCTGCTCTCAGCACGCACAAGTGCAAGTTGATGAACTGACGAGAATATTTAAACGGAGCTTGTGCAAAATGACCGAGCATGGTGAGAGAGTGAAATTTCCACAGTGAGCTCACCTACGGAAAACATTTCGCTTCAAGACTTCGTAACGTTGTTAACAAAGACACAGAAGATTTAGTTTGAACTTTTAGGAGCTTGGCGCGATATACTGTACTCGTTTCGAAGAGCCATTACGCCCTACCACACTTCAATGGTAGGCAGAAATCACAGAGCCATCTCGGAATTGATTTTATGCAGAGCAAATATGGTTGTTAGAAAAGTCTTTGAAAATTAGAACGACAGATCGAAGAGAATATTCCAACGAGAAATCACCTGATAGAGGACGTCTTTCCCAATGCGGTCAGGGTATTTTTCAAAGTACCGCTGATATGCTAACAGCTTCTCCTTGATTCCTTTGGTGTAATCGAATCGCTCAACGGAGAAGAAAAATCGCGACCCTTTTGGTGGATCACTACCGAGGATCTGAATTCAATGGCAGGTCCAGATACGTACATATGGCGGTAAAGAAACGAACAAGACAAAGTAGAAAAATTCGAGCGTATTACCTTCGTTCTTATCGCTTCTTTTTTCACCACAGATTCCGGCATATGCACAAATTTCAAAAAGTCGTCGTTTTTTATACTGACCGGGAACACACCAAGTGAGCATGTCCACCCTTCGTGGGTTACTGAAATAAATTCACAACAATAACTGGAATATTTCGTTCAAAAAATTCAACGAAGTGCGGCAGAGTGGGGGAGTAGAAGGGACATTCTCCGCGACTCCATCGCTAAGTTTGTGATGATAATAAGCGAGCAGCTCGTTTGAAGTCTTTTTTATAAAGAATACTTGTCAAAAATTCTACGTATTCTATCCATAATATGTGCAAGTTTTTGTATGTGGTTAGCGCTTTACACACCTGCAGCTACTCCCTCCCCTTAGGCTTGGGCAAATGCCAATCTCCTGGCTAAGTACCGCATCCTTCCTTACTTCATTTAAAGCCGACACATGAAAGCATCCTAAGAGCATCACTCCCCATGATTACAAAGTACTCTAGCATGAACCATGTGCGTGTTATCGGCATAACACATACATACCGTCCATATCCGAGAGTTGCGGTAGGCGTGTCACCGCAGCAGCCGCACTTGATAGATATCGCGCGGATAAGCTGCTTCCAACCGTCAATTGCTGGATATCAACAAAGCATGCTGGCAACAGCTTATCCATGCAACTTCTATCAAGTTGCATGGATAGAGATAGATAGATAGATAGATAGTAAAAATGTTGCAGTAGCTAATGTCTCCGTGAATGGCAATGTTTTTTCTCCGTTCAAACAGTCAATTGTACTATCCCTCAGTCACAGACAATTTATGATTCGGAAAACTAGCGAAGTATCTTCGGAATCTATCCTCTATTCATCATGATCAAAATTGTAGTAAAGAATCATGGGGCCCTAAGAAAGCTATAAAATGTCTATCTTCTAATATTCGTTCCATAGTTAGGAATGTACAATCTCTGAACTTTTTGCTTGCGAAATCGGAGTATGGCGTTATTGCTCTATCTGAGACATGGTTAAATTCCAATACTGAGATTTCTTCTTTGCTTGGTGTACTAGCTGCTAGCTATGAGGTATTCAGAATTGATCGGAAGCGTAAGAAGGGAGGAGGCGTTGCACTATTGATCAATCGTATGCTTTGCCCTGTATTTGTTTTTGGGGAAACTATAGCTAATGGGTATGAGCTAGTTGCAGTGGACACTTACATAAATGGGAGGAATTTGAGAATACTGCTCTGCTATAGATCCCCTGGCTGCCCTAGTGAAAAGTGCGAAAAAATGGTCAAATGTATAAGTGATCTTTGCGTAGGTGCTCATGTTTGCCTTCTCACAGGAGATTTTAACTTCCCCGATATTGATTGGTCAGATACTCGAGCTCAGAGTGCCGGGGTCGCTCAGAAATTTCTGGATATGGTTAGAAACCACGGTTTTCACCAGTATGTGAAAACTGGGACGAGGGGTGCCAATGTTTTGGATCTCTTATTCTGCAATGATAGTAACATGATAAGAAGCGTTCAAGTGGGACCACCGCTAGGGACAAGTGATCACGCGAGCATTGGGTTCACTCTCAATCTGCAAGAGAAGTTAAACAGTGTCGTACATGTTCGTGATTTCAAAAAGGCTGATTTTGTAAGAATCTCTTCTTTTCTGGACTCGATTGATTGGTATGGTTCCTTCATTGGGCTTTCTGTTGATGATATGTACGAAATGCTTATTTTCGTACTTCAGCAATGTATACACATGTATGTGCCATTGCGGAAGGTTCAGTTACGCAAAGCCCAGATCCCTACTTTCCTCCATTCGCTTTTCGATAAGAAAGTGAGGGCATACAAAAAAGCTGTTGTAACCAACTCTCCCAGTGATTGGGATTTTTTCAAAGTAATAGCAAAAAAGTTTGAAACTAAAATGTATAAGTATAGTTGCTTAATTGAGAAGAAAACTGTTGAAAATGGGAGCAGCGTTGCTTTGTTCAAGTACATTTCCTGGAAGACGAAGTCAAAAGAAAGACTTCCTGTTTTGCTGAAACCAGATGGTTCTCCAGTTCTTTCTGACTTTGATAAGGCCGAGCTTTTTGCCCAACATTTTGAAAAGGTTTTCGTTGCAAATAGAGATCATGATAGTGTCATTGCTGAGTTACCAGGAGTCTTCGCTCAAATGGAAGACTCACTGTGGTTTAGCGAAAGTGAAATTTTTGAGATTCTTTCTAAATGGAAATCAAAGTCCTCTGTCACGCCGGACGGCGTTCCGTTTCGGTTTATCAAAGAGATACTCCCCTCGATAGTTGGGCCCTTGCGATTCATATTTAACTTGAGTTTTGTTCGAGCTGAGGTTCCTAGGAGATGGAGGCTCTCTTATGTGGTTCCCATCCCCAAGAAACCTCCATATTCGGACGCAAACAATTACAGACCGGTCAGCATCACTTCGGTTTTCTGTAGAGCTTTCGAAAGAGTAGTCAAGAGGGTCGTCGTAGAACACCTTGAACGTCAGCGGATCTTACCCGACTGCCAGCATGGCTTTAGGAAAGCGAGAGGTCGACGGTTACTCAGTTGCTGGAATCTTAAATGATTGGACAACCTCATTGGAAAAGAAGAAAAACGTTGATGTGGTTTACTTTGACTTTTGTAAAGCATTTGACAAAGTGAACCATTCCAAGCTCTTCGCTAAGCTCAAACACATCGGCATTCACCCAAGAATTTTAGTATGGATCAAGGCCTTCTTGAGTCATCGCTGCTTTCAAGTTCGAATTGGCAAAGCCTTTTCTAGTGTTAAGACTGCCCCAAGTGGTGTCCCGCAAGGAGGGGTTCTTTCACCGGTGTTGTTTTGTATCTATACATACGACTTACCTAGGGTGGTGGAGGATTTGAATGTCAAATGCAAAGCATTCGCAGATGATGTCAAGATTTACCAGGAATTAGGATCTCGAGAGGATGCTGAGACGCTCCAAGAAGCCATTGAGGCAGTTGTCAAGTGGTCCGATGTGTGGGAGCTACCATTGGCTTCCAACAAAACTTTGGTTTTGCATCTAGGCAGGCCCCAGGAGAGGAGCGCCTACTACATAGGTGGTTGCGAACTCAATGAGGTTGAAGCGGTTAGGGACTTGGGATTTCTCATTGATAACAAGCTGAATTTCGAGTCACATTGCGCCGCTATAGCCAATAAAGCTGAAGTCAGGCTATTACAACTCTTTCGCACTCTATACACCAAAGATCCATGTATCCTCATCAAGGCTTATAAGTCGTACATCCGTCCTATTCTGGAGTATGGATCGATTATTTTCTTTCCCCACAAGAAGAAGACCATCTCCAGGTTAGAGTCTGTTCAAAACAGCTTTACTAGGAAGGTTCTGGTCCGTTCTTTAGGTTTCAACTACAATGTCATACCCAGGGCTGTTGTCAGGAACAAAATGCTTGGTCTGGAATCTCTTCTTCGCAGAAGGGAAAAGACTGATCTCATTATGTTATTCAAAATACTTGTCGGGAAAGTGCCGATTGATTTGCAAAGCCTCTTCACTGTTCTTCCTTCTGTTACTAGAGGAGAAAAGTTCAAATTAGTTCGTCCATTTGCTAGATCCAACACCAGAGCAAATTTTTTTTCTCTTCGCGCTTCTAGTGAATTTGGTAAGCTCACCAAAAAATTCGCCATGCCCAGCAGTTTATCGCACTTAAAGAAAATATTTACAAAATTCTATACTTAAGGGCTTCAAATTTTTCATTTTCAAATCTGATTTTTAGAGGATGGACAATCATATTCACTAGTAAAATTTTGTTGTTCTACTTCATTTTCTTATGATGTTTTTTTCCAGTTGTGTTGTTACGTCTTGGCACAGTTTTGTTGTGTTTTTCCATGTACTTTTGTACATGCAAATAAATAAATAAATAAAATTAAATCAAGTGCGGCAGCGACGTTAATTCCGGTGACACGCCTACCCC